ATCGGCGAGGGAACCTTAAAAGTTGACTTAAGCTGTTCTGATTTGTCCATAATTGGTACATTAGGAAAAGGCAAATAGTTTGCATCGTCATCATCGTAGTGAGTGTTACGAAGAGAAGAATACAAAAACAATTGAAGTTCATCACAGATACCTAGATAGCTATAAGGCAAAAAAAATCCCAACTTACCTAAATTCTCGACAAAAAAAATCCTAAAATCCAATTAAATGCGTGAAATTAAAACTCCACTTTGTGGAACTGTTACAGCAGCAGCGGTGTGGTTGTTGTTGTTTCGATGTCAGGAAATAAGCCGCTTAAAAAGTCGTCACAAAAAGAGACACACACACAAATAAATTCCAGCAGCAACCCACTACCTCTTATGATGTGGTCCAGTACATTCGCTGTTTTACAATTGGAAATATTTTACCTTTTCCCCAAGTCGAGTCGAATGAAGTTGAATTGTACGAATTAAACAACAACAACTACTACTGATATAACGCAAATATGGAGCATAAAAATGTCACATTAATTCATGATGAAGACAAGACTTGTTTGAAGTTCGTTGTTCGTTAGTTCAATGTTGTTACTGTTGCGGCTGCTGTTACTGGGGTTGTGTGCAAGTCCGAAAGCGGTAACGACGAAATACAATCAGCAGGTTGATTACAACAAAAACAGCAATTGAAGGTTGACTCTCAAAACCAAGAGAAAAACATGCGTGTGTGCTGTGTGGCTGGATCAGAGTATGTGGTGTTGTTTTTGTTTATGATATCAGTTGTTGTTGCTGTTGTTGTTTGTAAGGTTTATTGGCTGTAAAAAGTCGCAGCAGGAGAAAAGAACAAACAAAACTACCGACAATGAATACGCCGGCGACGCTGAGGTTGACGACGTTAACGTTGACAGAAGAAGAACACCTTACAATCGACGAAGAACATTGACAGCAGAGACAGGTGACAATAAACAAGCAATGTATGACGTCTGTTTTGTTGTTGTTGTTCCCTTTTTTTCATTCACTTCACCTGACTGTTGCAAATACACGCATGCATTCACACGACACAATCAACCGAACCGACCGACAAACCGTCCGAAAAAAATACAAATACTATACGCCAAACGAAATAACACAGATACAACGACTACAAAATAAAACGAGAAGAGAAACCGTTTGAAATGGTCTAAACAAAAACACGACGACGACGGCACAACAAAACAAGTATCAGTTTAATAAAATATTGAAATTAATTAACACAGAAACTCTTCTCATAAAATGGAAACGTAACGAACAACAAAATAGAATAATAGAAAGCTACAGCTTACGAATGTTGTGGAGAATCGATCATTTTTTTTTTTCTTCTTTTCTTTTACGCACACACTCTCTCCTCCTCATACGCACATCCACCTATGTATATTTACGTAGCTGTATAGGTTACCGATCGATATTCTTAATGTTAATTTTCACTAAAAATCCCGTTAGAACTAATCATTAACTTGTTGCTGCACACAATTGTCATTGCTATTTGTTTTCCACTTGTATTCATTCAACAATTTTCTAACATTTTGTGTGTGTATTTAATTTCACTTCTTAGTTTTTCCATCCACTTCATATGCTGCTGCTCCACCATTCACTGATTTTGCTTTTCCCCAATTCATCATTTTTTTTAATTCTTCATAGATCACATACAGCAGACACAATTTTTCAAACGGATTTTATTATACATTCTTCTTGTATTTTTTTAAAATATTTGTAGAAATTTTATCTCGTTTACTAGAATTATCTTTTTTGCACAAAGATTTTCATTAATTATAAAAATTAAAGTGTTAAATTTAAGTTTTTCTCTGCTTGAAATCTCGATTCTTTTTGCCGTATTTTAACTTTTGTTCCAGAGTAGAGATTTCTAGATCGACTTTCGTCTAATCGACTTAAAACCGATAAGACACGAAAAATCAAGTTCTGGACTGTCGACTTTTCAGTCAACGAATCGTTGTGGTAGCATACATGGTACAATGATATCAATTTTTATGATTTTAATTTTTTTATTTTCTTGGCTTAATATGTCATCTGCATTTGTTTATGTATAGTAAAAACTTCTACATTCTTGCAGTTGTGGAAGAGTCCAATATTTTTTCCATTTCATATATTGCTCTTTTCCAGAACGAAAAATTGTCACTGGGGTTTTGTTAAGTAAAAAACGAAAACATTCTCCACATTGCTCTGCAGTGAAATTTTATATAAAAAAGTGGGCTTAATCACAGTATAGCTAGTTAGATCATGACATTCTGATTGCAAATTCTCGGAGGTTGTAAGCGGTTATCCGGTTTTTTGAACCGGGAGAGACCAAGATCTATTTACAGAAAAAATTTGAGATCGATCCGAGAGTTATAGCTGAACTGGGATTGTTCCAAAAAGTGTATACCATTTATAAATAAAAAATGGAATGGAAAAACGAATCTTCAATAGGTTTAATCGTTTATCATAGTACAATTGTTTACATTCTTGCCGTTCTAGAACAGATCATTACTTTGTGGGAGCTAGAGGGTTTATTTCGGCTAGTTACAAGTGGAATGAACATTTTAAAATTACCACTATAGGGTATGAAAACAGAGATTCACTGTATGTAACGGATGTTCAGGCTCGATAGCATGCTGACGTATACTCCGCCATTAACTTTGTATCGTTTGTCTACGTCTATCGTACAATTAGTTTGTACGATAACCAAATATTTTATTATAATTTGTGCTAAATGTTGTTCTATTACCCAAGGTCCAGCATCACCTCGAATATTAGTTGCAAAAGTTTCAAAACATACATGATTTGCAATTACACCTTATAAAATACACCTTGGAAACATGCTGTTATATTTCTACAATTCAACAACCCGTTTTTAGCTCAACTAATCGATTATTAATTATCGATGTTAGATCCCTATTTTCGATTACTAAGAAGAGAGCCAAAAAAATTCATCAGCAGAAAAGTTTGTGAAGTGCCTCTGCCCTATTAATATATTTATTAAAATAAAATTATTATTTCTTTGTATTATTACACACATAGCATTTGCAGAAGCTGTAAGAAATTCCCCAACACCTGCCCACTAAGACTTCAAGGCGAAAGAGTTTTGTATTGGCATATATTCGGATCAACTAACCACGAAAAAATAAAACCCTAAAAATGGTGAGTAATAAATAAATATTTTGGAATATGTGAACAAAAGTATGAAAAACAAACACACACCTCTTCGATTTGAGAGAAAGAAGAAGAAAAACTCCACAAGTATATTAAAAATAGTGAAGTTAAATGCAAGAATTTGTGGTCTTCATGAGCATTCTACGAAGAAAACGACAACAGCCAACACTGTCATTATGCGCTGCGAGGGTGGTGCATAACGTTTATGTGCTCTGCTCCTCTTTCTCTGCCGGTATTCAAATACTTGAACTCAACAGCTATGAACTATGATGTGTTCGATGATGATTCAGTTTTCCAATGTTTAGAGGCTACTGTAATAGCTTTTGTTATCATGCGTCGAATATTAAAAACAAATACTGGTTTTATCTCTGATTTTATCGTTTGGTTTCTATTTTCAGTCGGAACTACAAATGGATTGTGCTTTGGATTTGATGCGTCGTTTGCCGCCACAACAAATCGAAAAGAACTTAAGTGACCTCATTGACTTGGCGCCTGATCTATGTGAGGATTTGCTATCCTCCGTCGACCAGCCTTTAAAAATTGCCAAGGATAAAGAGCACGGCAAAGATTACTTACTGTGTGATTACAATCGTGATGGTGACTCGTATAGGTCTCCATGGTCCAATACCTACTACCCACCGCTGGAAGATGGACAAATGCCCTCAGAACGTTTGCGCAAGCTGGAAATTGAGGCCAACTATGCTTTCGATCAGTACCGTGAAATGTACTATGAAGGTGGTGTTTCTTCGGTATACCTTTGGGATTTGGATCATGGATTTGCTGCGGTCATACTAATCAAGAAGGCTGGCGATGGTAGCAAAAAGATTCGCGGTTGTTGGGACTCCATCCATGTTGTTGAGGTGCAAGAGAAACCAACCGGCCGTAATGCTCACTACAAACTCACCTCCACTGCCATGCTGTGGCTGCAAACAAATAAACAAGGTTCGGGTACAATGAACCTGGGCGGTTCCCTGACACGTCAAACTGAACAGGACGCTAATGTCAGTGATTCCTCTCCGCATATTGCGAACATTGGTCGCATGGTTGAGGAAATGGAGAACAAAATACGCAATACCCTTAACGAGATCTATTTTGGCAAGACTAAAGACATTGTAAACGGCTTGCGCAGCACGGTGCCTTTGGCCGATCAACGACAACAGGTGGCCATGAAACAAGATCTAGCCGCTGCCATTCTTAGACGTACTGTAAAACCAGAATAGAACTGAAAATAAATGCGGTTCCAAGAACCACTCAACATATGCAAAAGCAAACACACAAACAAAATAAATAAGCGAAACAACATTAAGTTTAAAGAGAAAGAGGATGATGCGATGATGATGACCAAACGCAGGGGGTATAATGATGGCATGGAAGTTCGTTGCGCACTGTAGTAAAAAATACAAACGAAAATTTGATTAAAAAAAAACAAAGTTGATACATGTTATTATTTTTTATGTAAACGAAGTATTAATAAGATCACGTTTTGACTGGGCATTAAGACGTCAATCGAAATCATTTTAAACACAATCGTTTTTTGTTCTTTTTTAGGAGAATATATAAGAACCCGTAACAACAAATTCAATTACTCCCTAACACAAATGATACAACATGTAGGCCTAGTTATTTAAAGAAACAAAACCATAATTGAACATGAAGAGATTTAATAACAATTATAATAAAACAATTATACTTATAACACTAAATCGAACACGAACTAACTAAAAGCAAGTGAGTTGTCTAAATAGTGGGGTGAATTAAAGCTACTGACTACAGTAGACACTGTGGAGATGAAGGGAAAGGGGAACAAAGTTTAAAATTGTGTAGATTTACTGTGTTATGGAGCAGCAAGCAAAAAATATAAACTCGTACAAATTGCAAAAAAAAATATCTTATATGGAACTGCCATACTTCTGCGGCGCTATTCTCAACCCAGCTGACCGATAAGAAGAAGATATGAGACGCAATAATTTAACTCCATCCATCCATTTAAGATATAAGTAAATCTAGGAAGAATCTATTTCATACAAGCAGTTTTGCAAATTGAACCAGGCGCCAAATTCTCTCTCATTCGATATCGAAAAAATATTATCGAAATGAATTTAAATGCCAATTTTAGCTTGTTTTAACTTAAAATTTTTGTAGAAACGACTAAATATCGGATGTTAAAGTTGAACACTACTATTTTTCCTTTACGATATCGAAAAAAATTGCAAAAGCTGGAACAAAGTGGTATGTTCCAGAACGACAAGAATGTTAAAGTATTTACTACGATAGCCGATTTTCATTTTATTATATCGACCAAAATTGCTAAACAAGTAAATTCTTGCAAGAAGTGAAGTGAAGAAGTGCAATGGTATAATGAGTCGTGACGACTTTAAAAGACTGGGTATGAACAGATCTTATACAACGCTTTGGAAAGTAGTAGCAATGTTCCAACGAAGAGACCTTGTTGACCTTTTATAATGGGTATACAAGGTGAGTAAAAAAACTGAAACAAAGTCAAACGCCATCGGTTATACATTTTTTTTTTAATTTTATTGAATGAATGCAAAAAATGTCGGAAATAGCATGAAATTTAAGAACAAGTTTAGATTTGTTCGAATTGGTCTCCTTTGGCACGAATTATGGCCTTCAAACGGCTAATGAAATCTTCACACGCTGCCAGAATGTTGCTCTGCGGTATATTGGCCCATTCCCGGCAAAGCGCTTGCTTGAGGTGATCGACATTTTTAGTATCTTCTGCTGACGTTGATGTTTTCTCCCGTCCACTTCCTTGACGTCGGGCTACGCTACCAGTATCACGGTAACGAGCGATGGTACGAGACACAAAAGATTTATCCACATTCAAATGCTGGAGTGCTCTAACGATAGCAACTTGTGGTTTTCCAGCCGAATATAAAGAAATCACACTATCACGCTTGAATATGCTTTTGTACGCTTGTAAACAATATAATGACCTGTCACTGCAATAATTTTTACAGCAATCCGTGTCTTACATATATGTCGATAATCAAGCGCTCCTTACAACCAGGTCCGATAGTGAACAAAAAGCTCTAGGGGTATTTATACCCTCAGCCATAAAGGCTACAGAGGGTATATATAATTTGATACGGCCAAAACGTGCTTAATCGAAATAACGGTTTTGGACATTAGGTCTCTTTGGATCAAATACATTTCAGGACATTTGGAGTCGATCTAAGGGTGTCCGTGCGTCTCTCTGTCTGGCTGTTACTCATGATCTTTCGAAAGCAGTGTCCGATTTGGTCCAGACTTGATACTTTGTAATACTATTATCAACCTTAGATCGAGTTCGGAGATGGGCAATATCCGTGCACTTCTTCTGGTACCTCCCACACAAAAGGTCGAAATTTTCAAAAAGTAATATTTTACTGCACAAAAAGAGAAAGGATAATCCGATTTTACTTCAACTTTGCAAATCCTATACATCAGTGCTAGATCAGGTGCGAAATTGAACAATATCGGTCTACTCTATAAAGTACCTTCCCCACAAAGGGTCAAATTTTTGAATAATTATAACTCGTTTGAACTGTGATGTAAGAGTCTGACTGACTCCAAATTACACACATCACAATATTTTTATTGACCAAAGGTCTGGTGTGAAGACGGAATATATCTGTCAACTCCTTCTGGTACCTCCCCCACATAGAGTCAAAATTTTGAATATCCATGA